CTCTGGCCCCAGCTCCTGCCAACCTAGCAGTTCGAAAGCAAGAAACTGCTGGTAGATAAATAGGTACTACTTTGGTGAGAAAGGAACAGCGTTCCGTGCGCCTCGGTGTTTACTCATGCCGGCCACATGACCACGGAAACGTCTTCGGACAGCGCTGGCTCTTCGGCTTTGAAACGGAGATGAACACCGCAACCCTAGAGTCGGACTGGACTGGCTTTCGAGCAAGGGAGACCTTTACCTTTAATCCAGCCCTTAGGGCCTTGTGTACTGGATGTCTCATCCTCCTGATGGCCCTTGACTCACCCGGTGCGACTGGCCTTGGGCCTCCTCCTCCGTGAGGAAGGCAGACTGTGGATAACGTCCGATTGCACCAGCAGCTCTACATTCCTTTATCCAAGTCGCCCTGCTGCTGCTGCTGCTGCAAAGAGGCCGAACCCCCCTCCCTTTCCCTCCCTCCTTCCCGTGGTGGTCCCACGCAGTGTTCCCTCTCAGCTGAGTCAGTGTGAGATTCTGGCTCCTGCAGCTGCCGGGAGAGCCTTCAGCCGGCTTCATTGAGCTCAGGAGTTGATTCCCTACTGCTTGGCCCCGCTGATCCAGCCACCGGGATCTGTGCCCTGAGTAGTACCTCAAGGCGAGAGGGCTGAACTGCAGCCGACGTGGGCTTGCCTGGACAGATCACGTGGGAGCTCCAGTCGGTCTACAAGCCCAGTTACGCTGGGCACTGAGTGGATCCTGCATGCCGGCCTCTTCCTGCGGACACTCACGCCATTGGTGACTGACCACTGACCAAGATCGCTCAGCTCAAGATTATCACCCATGAAGTGCTTCCCGGCCTTGGACTCCCATCCCAGTGAGGCTTTCCTCTCACCCTGCAGACGGTGGAATTGGCAGCCACCAGTCCACGCCTGTTCTCCCCTTGGGGGGCGGGCAGGCAGCCCTGCGGAGGCTACCATCTGCCCGCCCACCACGCCACGGGAGGACTTTGGCACCGTCTCCTGCCTCAGACGTCAGGACACCTGGAGCATCCTTTCCTCCCTGCTCTCCGGTCCTTTCCTTTTTATTTATTTATTTATTTATTTATTATTAACATTTTTACCCCGCCCTCCCCGCGAACGGGCTCAGGGCAACTTACACGGGGGCACAAGCCCATACATAAAAACACTAGAAAA